AGAAGCGAAGCGCTGCCTGAGTTTGGAATCATCACTTTAACAAGTGAGTGCATAGTTGCTTTCATCTTACACATAGATATGAAGTATTTAATATAATTTACATGCTATGTGTGCATATTATCTGTGTTCTTGATATCTATGCTAGATGAACAATTTATACATGTTTTAATTGATTTAAACTGTATATGTATTTTATATCTACAAATATGTTACGTAAACAAGTGTAGATGAAAGATTTGATGTGTGATGAAATAAAATGATGAGAGGCCTTGATGTTTATGATGATCTAGTCATCTAGCGGAGTATAGATGACTACCACAAACTATTCTAGATAGTCTAGTGGAACGTTAGCAGGCTCGTAACCTGTAGGTGTTTATTTGAACTACAAGTTCACCAGGTGTACTTCATCCCCCTCATAGTTTCCTTATTTGACATGTATTGCTAAGGAATCCCCAAAGCATTTTTGTCATCCCGATGAAAATCCTTAGGCTAGGTCCCTTAATTTAGATGCTTTAGGGACAGAAAGTGATGATACCGGGAATGGGTAATCGGGTTGATTGATTTGATGAATTTAATAAACTTAATTATTGTGGGTTGAAAACTCTATGTGCTCACCAGGCTCCTAATCCTGACCCACTCAGTTTCTAGTATTACAGGTAGTGGCACAAGAGCATAAATGTGACGATCCAATGAGAGATTATGGATTATAGGCCAGTAGAAATAAATAAATGTTGTAAGGCCTATGTTGTTTTTGTTTCTGCTTTTGATCTGTATTGACAGTGACATCTCGAGGTTTTAATATAATGAAATACATTTCTTCGGAAATGCTCTGATAAAATCTTTATCATATTCTTTTGGGAACAAATTCTACAACATTTTTCTTAAAAAGGATACTCTAAATTTTTAAATAAAGCATAAATAAATCGGTATTTTCTGGCCATGAAATTAGGGATGTCACAGAACCCGAGTTTGAGATGCAGGAGCATTACCTTGATTTGTTCATAGTAGTGGACTTCGAGGACGAAGCCTAGTTCAACTAGCGGAGAATTGTAACATCATGATGTTGGGGTATTTCCAAATTTTAACCCTAAGTATGGAGATTATTTCTTTTTAGACTTTGTGTATGAGAAATGTTTCAAAATGGCCCATAGTGGCATTTTTGTAAATCATAGTCGGAGCTCACGTACGATAAGCGTACATAGCATACCTTTGGTGTATGTGCCAGAACCTTAAACCTTATTTTTTAGGGTTTGGACCATATTTAAGCATCCTTAAGTCTTAAGCCTTGTCCCTTCCATCAGCCTCCAACCTCACTTCGACCCTTTTGCAAATCCTAACCCTTTTGAGAGCATTGGTGGAATTTCGGGTGTATTTTGGTAACCTTGAAGGAAGAGGGAAGAAGAGAAGATCATCTTGGAGGAGTGGGTCACTTAGGATCCAAAACCACATCATCATTTGGAGGTAAAAAGCTATGGACTTCGTTAAGTGTTGATTAGATCTCATTTAGTCATGAAATGGTGTTCTTTTAGCCCCATAAGCTTGGTATTATGATTATAGGTTACTCTAATCCATATAAATTGTCCTTTCAGACGTTTTAGAGCATCTAGAAGTATAAAATGTCATATTGATTGTTAGTTTCCTTCCATGCATGAGTTACAAGGTCTTAATGGGTTAAGTAGTCATGGTTTTGTTATTGGACACTTCCTAGCCATGTTATACCAGAAAGTTACAAACTTGATGGTTAAGGACGAGAGTTACAGTCTAGTTGTGGAATATGAGCAAAAAATATTAAGGATTAAGCTCTTAATAAGAATATGAGGTGGCCAGACGTGTACGTTGGGCGTACCAGATGGTATGTTGCGCATACGTGGTCAATGCCTCGACTTCTTGCTCAAGCTGAGTACGCCCAACATACTCAACTAAGTTGAATCGGCTGGTTTGTTGACTTTTGACCTTGATCGAGGTTTGACCAATTTCTACCAAAGGGTATTTTGGGTATTTTGATATTAAGTTAAATTATGCCATGATTGAATTAATATGTGATGAGCAGAGTCGATATTCGGAGTAGAGATTTATTCAGCGATCGTTCAGATTGAGAGGTGAGTTTTCCTCACTGGACTTATGGGTCGAAGGCACCAATGCTCGCCCACTAGGTTATGTGTCCTAGTTTATAAGATGGTGTTATGCTAGTTATATGATTTATTAGTAGATCTGTATGATTATCTGTATTTGTTGGATATGCGTTTATGATTATCTATTACATATGTTGACATATTTGTGGTTGGGTTGAGGCGGTCCTGTTTTGTGCTGAAGGCCAAGATACTCGAGGCGGTCCAGATAGGATAGGCGGTCCAGTCATGCTGAAGGCCCGATGAGCGGTCCAAATGCGAGGTACTTTGGGGGAACTCACTAAGCTTTGACCTACAGTTTCAGTTATTGTTTCAGGTACATCAGAGGATCATGGGAAAGCGAAGGCGTGGTCGTGCACATCTTCCTTTTTTATGATATTGGATCTTGGGATACTCTAATTATAATTATACTTTTGTAACAATGGTTTTTTTATAAATATTTAATGGTTAATGAGTTGTTTTTGAAAAATTTAAATTTCTATGATTTTTGGGATGTTTCGTATGGTATACATATAAGTATAAAAATACTAATTTATAAGGTTTATATTGTATAAAAGATATAATTATATGTATTTGTACATATTACTAAGTATAAATATGTATATATTTCTTATTTATATGTATACGATATGTATTTATACATATTTATATGATAAAATACATATAAACGAAACATGTTTTTTATATTTTGGGTGGTTCATCAAACAAAACATAAAAAAAGGTTTTTGGTTATTAACTATAAATATGTATTTAATTAAAATTTATATGTATACAATAGTTTTTATATTGAATAAATACATATTTATGTCTATTCAATACAAATAAAAATATTTTAAAATGTGTAAATATGTTTTTAAATGTATAAATATATTTTTATTTGTATTTAATATATATTTATTTTTATTTAATAGATACAAATATGTATTTATTTTATATAAAAAGCTATCATATACATATAAATATGAAATAAATACATATTTATACTTAGTAAATAAACAACAAAAACCTGTGTTTGGGTGTTTTGGTTGATGAATCATCTAAAGAAATAAAAAAAATGTTTCGTTTATATGTATTTTATCATATAAATATGTATAAAGACATATCGTATACATATAAATATGAAATAAATTATTATTTATATTTAGTAATAAGTACAAATACATATAGTTATATCTTTTATACAATATAAACCTTATAAATAGGTATTTTTTATATTTATATGTATTCAATATGTTTTTATATGAAATATATGTATCTATACCTACTAAATATAAATAAACACATTTTTAATATATAAATACATTTTAAAGGCATATATTTGCTTTGAAATGTATATAAGTATTAAATATAAGTAAATATATTTTTAAATATTAAATACAAGTTAATATATTTTACAATATGTTTTTAAATCTATAAAAATAATTTTAAACATTTAAAAACATATTTAAAATATTTGTATAAAATATTTTTATACATTTAAAAATATATTAACATATAATAATAATAATAATAATAATAATAATAATAATAATAATAACAACAACAACAACAATAATAATAAAAGTAATAGTATATCACAACATTTTTGAAAACTTAAAGGTAAATTCGATAATTTTTGAAAATTTAAGGGTTTTATTGATATCAAGTAACGAGTAGGCTACTTGAAAACCGACTAAATGGGTATAAGTGAACAAATTAAACAAAATATTCGGTTTTACGGGACCTAAAAACATCCAAAAGTAAAATTGGTATTTTTGTTTTTTAAAACTTAATTTTTTTATGTCATTTGTCCATACAAAATAACAATAAATTAAAATGATGTATTAAAAATAATATGGCAAATGTAAAAGTACTCCCTCCCACCTAAGTAAACAAGCTGGAATATTGTCGTAATGATGCGATAAATGATATATCGATTCTCAATGGTTGGACACAAAACCAGTGTTTTAAAAACCAGATTTTTAGTTAAACCGGTTCGACCGTTCGACCGCTGGATCAACCAGTTTCTATAATTTTCATCTTTTTTTTCTATTTTTCTAGACATACATACAAATATAAATCATGAATTTGACATTTACAAATCAAACATTACAAATACACATAAAAATAAGTTGTAGATCAATACAAATACATTAAATAACACATAACCATAAGTTTGAGTGTTTTAAATCAACCAATATACGTAAAAAATAAAATAAACTATAATACCAAAACAAAATATAGTTTTAGATGAATACAAACACATTAAATACCAAAGTTTATTATACAAGCTAGGTGTAAAACCCGTGTATTACACGGGTTGATTAAAAAAAATATTGAAATATAATAATAAGTATTTTTTAAAATAAAACTTTGAAATAAAAAATGAAGAAAATATTAATTGCAATTCAGTATAATATTTATTACATTTGATACTTCATATATATAAGTATAAGTATTATGTGACTTTTTAATTTTAAAAAGAAAAACATCATAAATGGTCCCTGTGGTTACCTAAAATCTGAAGTTTAATCCCCGTGGTTTAAAAACTCATAGATGGTCCCTATGTTTTCAAAACTTTTGATATTTGATCCTTTTTGCTAACTCCGTTAAGTTTGTCCGTTAACTAAAGGGTATTTTCGTCATTTCACAACTGCAGGGACCATTTATAATGTTTTCTCATATTTAAAAATTGAAACTAAATATAATTATTTAATATATAATCTCTCTCTATCTCTCTCTATCTCTTTCTCTCTCTCTCTCTCTCTCTCATTTGAAAAGAAGCTAAACCATCTGGACCACCATTTCTTTACTCTAAAGCTTATGTATAACAAGAAAAAGAGAAGATCGGTGTCAAACAAGATCCATGTCTTGTTATTCACCTGACTTTCGCTATGAACCGCCTCCCATAACCATACGTGCAATCGATCCCACCGTCGGAGCTATCGCCCTAAATTTAGACCTCAACCCAGTATCATCGGAGCCACCACTAATCTGAAACACAGCTAGAACCCACTGAAAAACCCATGGATCTTCATTTCCTCTACCTATGTCACATCTATCTTGTGTGTACTCCTTCTCCCCTCGATTTCCCTCTACTCCATCGATTTCTCTCTACGTAGTTGTTTCTCTCTACCATTACCTGCTTCATCAATTTCATTTATGAATTCCTCTTCTAGCTCTTTATGAGCTGTGATAAAGACTAAGCTTTGGCTAATATCTGAATACCGACGATTGCCTCCTCCTTTCAGATACCTCTTATTGATGGAGGAAGATCCCAACCTGGTGAAATAAATTAAGCCTTGGAGTTTTTTGTTGGTTCTTGATGAAATTGATGGAAGCGGAACCAATTTCATGAGTTTTAGATGGGTGAGGTTGCATTGAAGCTCGCAAATGCAGAGCTTTTAGAGGAATGTTATAATGGAGATGATACTTCAAATTTAGGTCAAATATTATAAGCAAAGCTTGAATCTTGGTTACAGTTTTAGATTTTGATTTGGGCTTACAAATTTAGGTCAAATTATGGTGATCTTGCAAGGGTTCGACATCTTCAGATGCTATTGAGGCTTATATCGGGTACAATTGTGAGAGAGACAGCAACAATGGCGGTGGTTGGTGGTCTGAAAATTGTAGTGGCGATGGTGGTGCTTCACCACCAGTAGGTGAGTCTTTGACCGAAGGAGAAAGAGTACAAATATGGGGTTTTTTCCCTTTGATTCTTCATCCCGAGAGAGAGAGAGAGAGAGGGAGAGAGATTATACATTAAATAATTATATTTAGTTTTTTCTTTTTAAAAAAAATATAACTGAAACGATCATAAATGGTCTCTGTGGTGTGAAATGACGAAAATGCCCTTCAGTTAACGGACAAAACATAACGGAGTTAGCAATAAGGACGAATCGTCAAAATTTTGAAAGCATAGGGACCATCTATGATGTTTCTAAACCACGGGTACTATACTTCAGATTTTAGGAAACCACAGAGACCATTTATGATGTTTTTTCTTTTAAAAATTAGAAAAAATAATAAATTAACATGTTGATATTATTTATTTAAAAAATATCACAAAATGACAAGTGTCAACACTCATCATATGACAAAATTATCTTCATTTATTATAGTAGATGATTCTTTTTTATGTGTTTTGTTTCGGTTTAACCGGTTCAACCAATTTATTCTGATCGGTACAACTGAGTTTTTTAAAAACCGATTGGTTCAATCTGCTTCAGAAATTGACGTAAAACTGATGATAGTTGAATCTCTCCGTTCTCCGGTTTCCAGTTCCACCGATTCGACCGGCCGGTTCAAACCGGTTTCTAAAACATTGTACAAAACACATAAGATATTATTAACTATGGTGAATTATAATTTTGGATCGTCATAAAATGAGTTCAATAACACAAGTTTAAATTTATATATATAAGTTCTTCTTCTCACATGCATAAAAGATACGTGGAAAGAAAATAATCATTTTGTGAATTATTATTTTTTTTGACAAACATACACATGTCGTTATGTGTGTTTCTAGTTTTATATCCCATTGTGTGCATATTCAACAAAATATAAACGACAATTTAACTTCTTATCCTCATGTTTTAAACACAATAGTTTCGTTTTACGTAATAAACACATTGAAACATATTACCTTTAAGTCTTAAACTATCATAATGTTTTAGTAGATTGATTAAGTTTGTTTTAAATTAGGGTAAATTCCCCAAAAGTTAAATTTTTATTTTACTTTACTTTATTTTTTTATATAAAAAATTGATTTTGACAATAAGTTATCTTTTATTTAATTTAATGGCTAATGTTTTTTTTTTTTTTTTTTCAATGTTAAACCATGTAACCGGACAACACGTTTGTCAACTCATGATTAATTTATTTTCTATTATAATTTTGGATTTTTAAGAAAACATCTCATTTTTTTGGAACGATTTATGAAATAGTCCAAAACTAATATTTTATAAAAAAAACTCTAAAAATTGGTAAATGTCACATTATGATCATTTTCTTAGTTAATGTAGGTAACAAATTAATTTGGGATTATTTTGAAATTTGGATTAATATATTTAAATTTTTTTTGCAAAAAAAATTTATTATTATTTTTATAAGTTTAATTATTATATTAAAACCACAAATAAGTATATCATTTTAAAATACATTATTATTAATACTAGAAAATAAATACATATATAAATATATTTTTAATGCATATTTATACATATAAAACATATTTAAACGTGTGTAAATATATATATATATATATATATATATATATATATATATATATATATATATATATATATATATATATATATATATATATATATATATGTGGGTTTAGGTTCTATGGAAAACAAAAAACCCTAAAAATCATAAAAATGCATAAAAAAATACCTAGAGATCACAAGACTTTTTTTTGAATTTTTTTTAAAAAAAATCGCAGCTTTAAAAAAAAATCGCTGAAAAAAAAAAAAAAAATTTTTTTTTTTTCAAATTTTTTTTCAACGATTTTCTTTAAAAAGCTGCGGTTTTTTCTTAAAAAATGTCAAAAAATTTTTTTGTGATCTCTAGGTATTTTTTTTATGCATTTTTATGATTTTTAGGGTTTTTTTGTTTTCCAAATAACCATTCCCTATATATATATATATATATATATATATATATATATATATATATATATATATATATATATATATATATATATATATATATATATATATATATATATATATATATATATCACCTGGTTCCTGGTATGTAAATCTTAATTGAGTATTTTCCTTTTTAAGCCTTGGACTCGGCGAGTCATAGGTCCGACTCGCCGAGTAGGGACGGGACCCGGGACACGTTTAAGTTGGCGACTCGGCGAGTCCATATCCTGGACTCGGCGAGTCACCGCTGTTGGATGAAACCCTAAGTTTTAGGGGTTTGCACCCTATTTAATCCCCCTTTCCGCCCCCAAGCCAGCCCCCATTCACCCTAAGAGCCATATACCTCGTTCTAAGCCTTGTTTTGTGGATTTGAAGCCATTTGGTGTGTCCTCTTGAAGATTGGAGTGAGTAGGGAAGGAGATCAAGAAGAAGAAGAGAAGGTCAAGCACTTGGGAGCGATTTCAGAGTGATATCTAAGGTATGGCTCGTTTTTCCCCTTGTCTCCATGCTTATGGCCCCATTAAAGTCCTTTATGACTCATTTCCAAGCTTGTATGTGCATCATATTTCGAAATGAGTTGATTGACCTCTAGATCTAAGCATGGTTGAGCTCCAGGAGCTCAGATCTACTACCTTTATGAGCCCATATTGCATATAAACCTTAGATCTACTCTTTTGGTGCATTTTGAATCCTAAAAACCCCATAGATGGATATTTACATGTAAAGTTGGAAACTTTATGTGTTATTCATGCTCTAGGAGCCTAGATCTACGAATGGCATGGATTGGATTCGAGCAAAATCGCATTTGTGGCTCTTGCATGGAGCGGACTCGGTGAGTCGCTCATCTGACTCGGCGAGGCTAGTCGCGAGTCTCCGAGTTTGTCCCTTTTTAGCTATGTCGAGTTGTGTGGTGAGTCCGGGGTGGACTCGGTGAGTTGGAAGCCAAAACTCACCCATAGTGGAACTCGGCTAGGCCTGGCAATCGTGTCGTGTTCGGGTTGGCGGGTTGGCGGGTCAAAATATGCCAACCCAAACACGACCCATTTAAATATGTAACGCCCGGGTTTTCAGGGTTAAGCATTTTTGTCAATGTAATAGTCTAGGTCAACTATTGTAACTCTTTTTGAAGTAATAAATATGAAATATTTGAGTATTCTGTGAATTATGTGTGTTTATGTGTTTATTATTTAATTATAAATGTATAATTAATAAAGAATAAAAATGAGCGTCAAAATTAAAGTGTGAGATAATCCCGATATCTCTACATAAAGTTGTAGAATATGTCTCAAGGTTTCCGTACATATAAAGAATGCCAAAATCCGAGCTATAACGAAGAAGTTATGGCCCGCCGAAGTTTTACGGCAAAACCGGCACGACACCGGGAGACGTAAATAGTGAATTTACGATAGAAGACTTTTTAGCCTTAGCAATGTAAACAAAAGTCGTAGAATATGTTAAACTAAGAACATCGATAAAAAGAACGCCCAAATCTGACTTCATATGAAGAAGTTATGATTTTTCTAAGATTCGGCTTAGCAGTGCACGGCCTGAAACTCGAATTTTAGTTCGAGCGGTTTTTGGCTTACGTAACGTAAATGAGAGTTGAAGATCTCATTAATAGGAAATCAACGGTAAAAAGACAGACAAAAACAGAGTCCTTATGTAGAAGTTATTAATTTTACGCAGACGTTTAACAGTATAATCTCCTTGTACTGTTAAATTTAAGATCGGTCGAGAATTAGCTGACGGTGTCAAAATGAAAGTTGTAGATCTTATTATTACCTACGCGTGGATATAAAGAACGTCAAAACGGAGGTCGTATGTGAAAGTTACGGATTTTAGAAGTCGGAAGTGTGCTGTGCGAAAATGGGTGATGTGGCACAATCTTGGCCATTGCTTTCTCCCCAAGGCTTGCCACCAGATGGTGACATGTGGCACCAAGTTCAGCCACATTTCACCCTATAAATACCACCTCTCCCACCCTCATTTTCTTCACACCTTTCCCATTCTTTCTTCTCTTTACTCTCTCTCTAGAACCTCTCTCTAGCCCCGAAATCCCCCGAAAAGCCTAGGGAACCTCCCTAGCACGAGGCGGAAGCCCCGGAGTGCTCGAAGGCTCTGAGAAGAAGAGCTTTTCGGCTCGGGAACGCTGCTCCAAGCAAAGCCCGGTTTTCTATAAAACCCGCTGTAAGTGAGCTACGCCTACGCTATTTTTAATATAACTTTTATTTAATTATAGTAATGTTATTAGGAACTTATAATAAATACTTGGGCTATTATTATGGGTTATATAAGTATTTTTTTGACGCTTATATAATAATAATAATAATAGCTAGACTATTAATTAGTCTCGACGAATAATAAACTAAACTCTAGTGGTAATAATACTAGGTTTCGTCGAAGAAAAAATTCTTTTTAAGAAGCGAAGCGCTGTCTGAGTTCGGAATCACCACCTTTTCCGGTGAGTGCATAGTTACTTTCAGCTTACACATAGATATGAAGTATTTTATATAAATTACGTGCTATGTGTGCATATTATCTGAATACTTGCTATCTACGTTAGATGAACGTTGTTATACATGTTTTCAATGATTTAAACTGTATATGTATTTTATATCTACGAAAATGTTGGGGTAAAACATGGGTAGATGTAATAGGTGATGTGTGATAAAATGATGAGAGGCCTCGATGTTGTTGTTGTT